CGACGAGATCGATGTATATCCGGACCTTTTCGGAGATTCTCCAATTCACAAATTTGCCGTATCTTCCTTCCAATGATTATCCAATTCTCCAACGGCGTTGGGTATGAAGCCAAGATTGGACGAAGGCTGTACCGCCCCGCGACCGCACGCGTCTCAGACCGTTCTCCCCCCACACTTTCATTGGAGACATAAGCTGTATGTGCACTTTAGAACCTTTGAGAGGTTCTCTGAAGAAAGCAGGGTAGGCTTTGCCAAATGGACCATGGTAGCGGGCACGATTGCTGGGTGCGGGCGGTTGTCTCTAACATCATTGATGGAAGTGGCCACACCTTCTCGCAGCGCTTCCACCAATGAAGCTGGCACAACCGCCCGCCTCCAGCCATCGCGAACACTGCCTTTAAGTCCGCTCGGAAAACCCAATTTAGTTCATGAATTTACCGAACAAGTGCAAAACCAGAACTTCAAGTCACTTTTAGAGCACACTACTTCTACTGCGTCAGACCAAATGCTCCAGAAATGACCAAGTTAGCGCCGCAGCATACAGCGTTATTTCATCCTAATGGGGGTTTCACGACAACAACAAATAAGTGGAACGTGTAACAAATCTCAAATGGAACACCAACAACACGATAGAGTGAAATGCATCTAAAAATCTACGTTTCTACTAAAACTAAGCTCACATCACTGTGAAAGTTGTGATCGCTGAAAATGCGATAAAACATCAATTGGAGCTGTGGGTTTCTCCATAACACTAGAATGAATTAGTAAAGCAAAATTCACAGAACGAAATTAGCTGCTGGTCTTCACTTGTGAACAGAACAAGGTAGAGATGGCACGAACGAATGATCAACCAACATCAATAACGAAAATAATATGATGAATTCTATCCGAGAGGAAAAAAATGAATAAAAACCAACTATTCAGGTCTAGTCGAGAGCCTCATCGGTCATTCCGAGTGATTCTGTGGTCTGTTTGGTATCATTGTTTTCCGTGGCGGTTTCAGTGGTACTTGGCATGCTGCCAACAGAGATAATGATGATGCCATTAAGGATGTTCAGTACGTCAAGGATCGACGACAACGAGGGTTGAGGGAGCTAAAAATGAGGGAAGTGAAAATCTGCAATCAACAGGGGATAAGGATATCCTACCGGAGAAAAGATGATAGGCTGAGTTCATACTTAGCGTCAGCTCTCTGAGCGACCAGGAATGTATAGGTATTGATTTACAGCTTTGAGCATATCCAACGTTTACAGCGACTGCCCGCGAAAAATTCAAGACTACTCGCGAAACGCTCAAAACGCTAAATCGATATCTATAGTTTCCTAGTCGCTCAAAACGCAGCCGTATGCTGCCGTACGATCGAAACATTGACGCAGAGTATGAACGCAGCCTAAGCAAGTGTGCCACTCCAGACTCTCACCCTAGGCCTTTATAAGGTTCCAGATGAGACTGCTATTGGAATGGTATTGCTTTATGCCACACCGAAACGCGGTATGCCCTAAAGCGCCATACCGTGCGCATTTGTGGCAAAGACCTGCGGCATTCGGGCCAAGAAATAATTTAAGCACAGGTTTTTGCTTACCTGAGCGGGCAGCAGTGGTCCAACAGAGTTGCCTTTAGTTGCATCCATAACTTTCCTTTGGAAGGCGACTGCCTGCATAGTCAATTGACTGAGATATTCGCTCGATTCCTTAAGAAAAAATATTCAGAAAGACATGAATAATCTGCACGAAAAGTTGTGAAGAGACGAAGAAAATAAAGAGAGGCAATAAAAATTAAATGTTCTTACCTTTGTCTTGTCATGGTCAGGACCGAATAGATTATTGTAAATTGAATAAGTCTCCTTTTCAGCAGCCAATGCAGCTCGGAAATCTCCACGAGACGCATGTGCACGGGCAGTGATGTGCTGCACCAAGGCAGACTAAAAGAGGTACTATTAAATGAAGTATGAACAAAGCTATGAAATAGGGGTGTGGGTTGGGAGATTTGAGGTGAGAGATCGGGCGTGCGCCAGACAGAATTCCATAGTTTTGATATGACATAAACGCTTTGACGTCACTTTATT